GCAGCCGCCCCGTGGTTCGCTCTCCGGTCCCGAGCTTCGCGCGGGGTCTGATTTATTTCCCTTTCTCTGCCGCCAGACGCTACGTGCCAAGCCCCGGGCCTCGCTAACCTGTTTTCCCAGGATCACGCGGCTGTAAAACGCTGCCTAGAGCAGAAGTGCTGACTGGTCCCTGGGTGTTGGCTGCGTCTCTGTGAGCCGTCCCCGGGGACGGAACAGCCGGCGGTCTCTCTGAGGGTCTGCTGATGGCCTCTTCCCGCGCAGGTAATGCCCCCCCGGGTGTGGACCCGGAGGCCTTCTCCTGGTTCCAGGCGGTCGATGCCGATCACAGCGGGTACATCTCCGTGAAGGAGCTGAAGCAGGCGTTGGTCAACTCCAACTGGTCGACGTTCAACGATGAGACCTGCCTGCTGATGATCAGTGAGTCCGGGCTCTCCTTGCCCTCCTCCTGCTTTTTATTCTGATCCGTTTGAGACGAGCCTCTCTGAGGGTGAAGCCCAGCCTGCCTTCCCCTGTTCCCTGGGCATCGCTTACCTGAGCAGCTGGCCTGTAAGCGCTCTCTGGAGCGAGAGCTGGGCAAACCCAGCAGCTCCAAGCACCCTTTTGGTGGAGGACACGAGTCAGGGGCCCAAAACGCTGCTTGGGAAAGGGCAGCCAGCTCTGCGCGAGGCCAAGGGAGCCTCCGTTCCCAGAGAGCCAGGGAGAAAAGGGAAGGAGAGCTCCAGTAGTGAGCCACAGTTGCCCCGTGCCCCTGCTTGCCCCGGCATTGGTTTGTGGTGCTGTTTTGTACCAGCCTCTTGGGGATTGAATGGTCCTGGATGTTCGCAGTCCTGGTGAGGGAGGGCTTTTGGGGCCAGAGCAGGGTCCCGGGAAGCCATGCTGCGGATCCAGAGCTCTCTGGGAGTTTCTGCAGCATGTCCGTGCGCCACTCCTCACTGCCCCGCTCCTGCTCTTTCCTCCTTCCTCCTTCCTCCCCAGACATGTTCGATAAGACCAGGTCGGGACGCATAGATGTGTACGGCTTCTCGGCATTGCTGCGCTTCATCCAGCAGTGGAAGAGCCTCTTCCAGCAGTACGACAGGGACCAGTCAGGCTCCATCAGCTTCAATGAGCTCCAGCAAGGTGGGCGAGAGGCAAAGACACGAACCTGGCCCTCACCGAGCTCCCCAGGGACTGCTCTCTGGCTCTGCTTGGTGTTTATTTCCAGCCTGGCCCGGTGACGACTCCTGGCACCGTCCCTGGGTGTCTCTGAGCGCCCGGGGTGCCTCCCGTGCAGCCATGGCTGC